GCCTAATTGATTTGCTCTGTTGGGCCTCATGGTATTGTGACTTTCATTGACTTTTTCTAGGATATTGTTTAGAATTGTTTGTAGTGCTGGTTTGGTATTCATGAAGTTTCTCAGGTGTTCTTTGTCATGGAATTATCTTATTTCCCCATCCATTTGAAAAGAGAGTTTAGCAGGATACATCAGTCTAGGTTGAAGTTTGTTTTCTTTTAGGGCTTGAAATACCTCACTCCAGGCTCTTCTTGACCCTCATGAGGGTTTGTGTTGAAAAGTCTGTTGTGATTCTGATGGGCTTTCCTTTGCATGTGATTTGTTTCTTTTCTCTAATTGCTTGCAGTATTTTGTTCTTCTGTTGGGTTTCTGGGATCTTAACTATAATATGTCTAGGTGTAGTTTTTTTTTTTTTTTAATCATGGCTAGTTGGAGTCCTATATGTCTCACTTATTTGTATGTCAAATTCTTCCCCTCTGTTTGGGAAGTTTTCTGTCATTAATTCTGTGAACAGTTTTTTCTATCATTTGTACTTTCTCCTGCTACTTCTTGGATTCCTATTAGTCATATATTATTCTTCTTTGCATCATCTAGGAGTTGTTGGATCAATTTCTCATAATCCCTTACTGTTGTTTTTAAAAAATCTCTCTTTTCTTGGTCACTGACCACAATCCTATCTTCTACATCTGAAATTCTATCTTCACATTTGTTCATTCTGCTGCAAATGCTTTCTATAGAGTTTTTAATCTCCTGGATATATGAATCTGTTTCATGGATTCCATTTCTTTCCTATGTTGGGCATTCATGGTTTCCATTTCTTTCCTGTACTGGGCATTCATGGCTTCTATTATGGTCCTGAACTCATCTTTATTTTATTTATTTATTTTTTGGTCTGTTTCTGTTTTAGAGTATGTAATCATGTCTTTCATTGTGCTCACTGTCTCTGTAGTTATCTGGAAAATTATTTCTGCTTTGAATTTTTCTAGAGCCTGATTGATCTGTTTTGTTACTTCCTGTGCTATGAGTTCAGGGTGTCTTGATGGTTGATTGTCAGATTTTTCCACCTCGTTTCTCCTAGAATTTTCCATTGGTGAGCCGGAAATCTCTATTGTGCCTTGCTGGTGTTTTCTTCTTATTATTTTTGTTGGCAGTACTGTCCTTGGTTGAATTCCTGGGTTAGTACTTTGATCTTCCTGATATAGCTGCTCTTTAGGTTTTGAGTCTCTAATGACTCAGAGACACTCTCATTTTCATAATATTAGGAAGGACAAATCATTAAATCAATTACAATCCTTTAGCCCAATTGATAAAATTAGCAACACAATAGCATCAAGCACAGCTTAGAAATTGACAATTAAATCAAAATTGAGGACCAGCCCAAAATATGTTTATAGTGAATAAACTCTTCAATATAGCAACTTTACCCTGCAGGATGGGGACTTAGAAGGAATTGGGAGGAGAGGAATAGATAGGTAGAAGGATAGAAGAAGGTTTCAAGTGAAGCCAGAGGACACAGGATAATCATGCAAACTCTAAGAAACTGTTGACAAGATGGAAAGACAGAGTGCAAGAACAAAGACAAGAATAGAGCAACTTAACAGTAATAGGGAAGCTATAAATTGTACTCACTTTCCTTTGAAACTAATGACAATCAAGAGAAAGAGAGAAGAAAAGAAAAAGAAAAAAGAAATCTGAATTAGGGCAGGAACAGGAACAAAAAGGGAGATGAGGAACAATGTGGGGGAACAAGAGATTGAGTGGGAAAAATAAGAAAGAAAAAAGGAAGAATTTGAAGAATGGGAAAAATAAAATTTTAAAAATAAAAATTAAAGGAAAACATTTTTGAAGGGCCTCCTTCGGGGTATCTGCTGTTGTCGCGAACCGGCGACGCAGAGCACTGTCCCGCAGTGCCTCAAACCTGAAAGAGCAGCGGGGTGGAGATGGGGCAGAGAGAAAGGAAGGACGCCAAGACAAGAGTCTGATCAAGGCGACGTTTATTGCCGGCAAGCACCGGCCTTTTAAAGGGAAAGGCCGAACTATTATGGGCTAGGATCACCATAGTAACCTCAACACCCGCTCCACGGGAACGAGGGTTCACACGGGCCTCAACACCCGCTCCACGGGAACGAGGGTTCACACGGGC